GTCGTCCGGCCGGCGCAGCAGCAGGAAGAGCAGGAAGTCGGAGACCAGCGCTTGGGCCTCGGGGTGCTGCCGCAGGTAGCTGGCGTGGCGGAGCCGGAGCTCCTCCTGTCGGGGGACGGGGCAGCCCCGAGCCTGAGCCGGGCAGGGCCCCCGCGAGCCCCCCCACCCCCCGCCCGTCGCTCAGAGGAGGACTAAGGGACGCGGGAGCCTCCCAGCCCCTAGGGCTGGCCTTTCAACCGGGGCGAAGAGAGATCAGGGTTGGGAAACTGATGGCCCGGGGTCGAATGGGGACCCCAGGCTTTCTCCTCACCTTCCGGCCCAGGAACTTTGAGTAGAGTTGCATATCCTCCTCCCATACCAGGGGCATCTTCTCAAACACTGGACGAAGCTCAGGCTCATCTGGGTGGGAAGGAAGGAAGGCTGGATATCCTTACCCCAGAACCTTCCTCGGATGCACAGAAGGATCCCGGGAACACCCAAACAGAAAGCTCAGGTCAAGCCCTAGGATTCCGCCCCAGGATCGCAGAAAAAGATCCTCTTCTGCCTGCCTTGAGGGCTGGAGGGCGAATTTTCTCCATCTGATCCCAGGCTCCTGTCCCATTCACTGGGTCCAGGCCCTGCATCATAGAAGGCCCAGGGATTCTCCACCTCCCCTTCACTGTCCACTGGCTGCCCAAGGCCTGGGCTTCACTTACCTTCCTCCCTCAAGATGGGCATCTTGGTGATGACACAGCACCCCGGGGAGCCCACCTGGACTCTCTTGGCCAGGTGCCTGGAGTGTACAGAGGGTGTGAGAGTGAGAGTCTTCCTGGAATACCTGTTATGGACTGATTTGTGTGTGTTCCCACCCTATTAAGATTGTAGCTCTAACCCCTAATGTGGTGGTATTTGGAGACAAGGCCTCTGGGTGAGGTAATTAAGGTTCAATGCAGTCATAGGGATGGGATCCTAATCAGATAGGAGTGATGTCCTTATAAAAAGAGGAAGAGGCCAGGCACGGTGTCTCATGCCTATAATCCCAGCATTTTGAGAGGCGAGAGGATTGCCTGAGTCCAGGGGTTCGAGACCAGCCCGCGCAACTTGGCAAGACCTGTCTCTACAATAAATCAAGAAAAATTAGCCGGGCGTGGTGGTGCATCCCTGTAGTTCCAGCTACTTGGAAGACTGAGGCGAAGGATCACCTGAGCCCAGCAGGTCCAGGCTGCGGTGGCGGTGAACTTACCACTGCACTCCAGCCTGGGCGACAGAGTGAGACTCCAACTCAAAAAAAAAAAAAAAGAGAAAGATGCTAGAGAGCTCCCTCGATCCACTCACTTACAGAAGAAAGGCTATGTGAAGACACATTGAGAAGGCAGCTGTCTACAAGCCAGGAAGAGAGCCCTCACCAGAAACCCTGACGGCACCTTGCACTTCCAGCCTCCAGAACTGTGCGAAAATAAATGTCTGTTTATTTATTAAGTCACGCAGCTTGTGGTATTTTGTTATGGCAGCCTGAGTAGACTATACATGGCAGCACCCCTTGGAGAGACCTGCCCTGGGGGCTCTGTTTACTTCTGTGTTCCTCTCTTGTTTTTTGAATTCCTGGGTGGTGTTCATTTCTGAATTCCGAGATAACACACAAGTCTTGGCAAGTATGAGACCTCTGCTTTTTTTTTTTTGAGTTGGAGTCTCACTCTGTCACCCAGACTAGAGTGCAGTGGCCGCT